CTTTCTCTCTCCTCGGATTTAAAAGCTCCTAGAAGTCTCTTTATTTTAAGAGGTGGATAAGAAGCATGGTTGAAGTTGTATTTTCCAATTCCTCCTTAAAATTTGTCTAAGGAGATGGTTTAGGGAGCCCATTGTGAATGCTCTAATGATGAATATAATATATACCGTAATCTTCGATTTCAGAAAACGTTCTTCTCGCTGGTATTGGCTTCTATTACCAAACCAAAACTCCGCCCCAACGAAAACACCACCACTGCACAACTCTGAAAGTTGGAAGGACAATAAGTATTGAAGAAATTCATGGATATATTAAACCCAACAAAATTGTATTTAAGTCTAGGCGACTCAATTGTGTTGGAATTGGCTTAAATTTGATGGCATGTGATGTGTTTTGTTATGGGCACCTACCTTGACTTTGTTTGCATCACAAAGTGCTTTCTGTGGCTTTATTTTTTTATTGATAAAACCAGATGCGCGTGAGGAAGGATTTGGGGAAGCAAAGACAAAGTGGGAAAAGCAAGTTTGACTTTGGGGAATGGTGTTAGGTTCCTTTTGTCGCGTGGCGGGGTTGGGTATTCGAAACTGAGGACTCGACATAACTTGTCTGAGTGACGAACACATAAGAATCCCAATATGACAAAACTGTACATTAATCCAAGATTTAATATCCCAAAATGTTTAGACTAATACGGTAAAAAAAAATTGTTTAAGCTAAATACAGATTTGCTGAAACTATGGGGCTTCTTTCGTTAATGAAAATTTTGTGATGTTGTGAGTAATAATTCTGTTGTTCGCTGTTCAAGAATTCTTATTTAGGCAGTTCATACAATACATACATAATATTTTGAGCTAAGAGCATTCTTTGGAACCTTGTGTTGGAGAACAATCAATATAAAACCAAAATAACAGAATAATAAAAACCAACGATTATATTTTATATAGATATAATTGAATCAATACAGCAATAATATAGATTGTAGAATACTGACTTGAATTGTAGATAGAGTCCTGCAGATTTGCAGTGTCCTTTAGACAGTATTTCTCCTCTACCCTTGTGCTTGTAGTTCGATAGGAGTCTGTCCACCAGGATTAAACTATCTTAAATCTAAGCCTAAGCACAGTGGCTTGATTTCTGGCGAACAGTGGTATGAATTCTCTCAGGAAGGGTAAAATGTGAGAATGATGATGCAGTTCAAAAGTATCTTTCTGGTTTGATCGTATTGTCATTATATAGAGGTCTGACACCTCTTCATCCAACAGTTATGTTAACTGTTTTAATTAATTCGAATTTCAGATTTTGGTTTTATCTGAAAAAACCGAATTTTCAATTAATAAAAATAAATTATTAATTAAATCAACAGAGCCCAAGAGCCCCAAGGCCCAAGGCCCATCTTTTGACAATTAATTATATATATTTATTACACAAATATATATATAATCCAAGCTCAAACCATGTTGAGGCTCAAGTTTGCCTCCACTAGGCCCATACTCTATTTAGTAATTCTAATGTGTTGGTGCTTATAAACTATGGAAGAAAACTACTCTCTTCCAATGTGGGACTACATGCAAGTGTATTTCCTATACAAACTCTAACACCTTGTAGAGTAAATTTGCAAGATAAGAAGAGTGTATTATCCTCAGTCAAACTAAATTCCTTTCACCTCTCGAGATACCAGGTTAAACACAAAGTTTTACAAAGTGATCATCCAATTTCTTTGGAGCTGATGTTTCTCGGTCTACAAGCTACAGGTCATCATGGACAGTCATGTTACCTCATTTTGACATCTATATATATCTTAACATATGTAACACACACAACTAACTAAGCACTTATATTTTGTAATAACGAAGGAAATTTGAACATCCATCCAGGGTTTCTATTCGCAGGTATGTCAGACAGTTTGCTTTAAAAGAGCCATCTGATGCTAAATCAGATAACAGCATAATAGTTTACTGCTATTCGTTCTACATAAGCTTCGTTTTCTTCCCCAAATAACAACTCCACAAGCCCGCTAGATCCAGTAGTAACATCTAATTCTAGATATAACGTCTACATAATTTAAAAACGTCGAGATAATAGTTAAACGTCTTTCCACGTCGAGATATTATAGTTAAATTGCAAGATGGCAGACAATGAAGAAGACAGAAAATGGAGTAATGCAGATGTTACCAGCAATCCACAACAACTGACGTCTGCAAGCTTTCCTAATCTAACAAGGAAGGGGAGGCTCCGCAATACTTATCACCTTAGCCACCACCTACACCACAAGACCAATATGTGTAGGCCAGGAGGCTTTCCAATTTTAATATCAATATATATATGTCACACCCCAATTTTTTTTTATTATTATTATTTTATATTGGGAATGTGAGGTAAAAGAAAAACTAAAAACTAAAAAATTTAAAATACCAAGAAACATGAAGATTGAACATAAACTTCCATTTAAGTTAAAGTAATTTACATTGTACTATTACAAGCAAAATAATAAGAAAGTAACAAACTTTTAGCAAAACACTCAAAACTATCCATAATCCGTTCTTCTTGTTTCCTCAGCAAAAACTACACTTCAGATTCAAAGCCTGCAATAGATTCAATAAGGGGTGAGCATTACATGCTCAGTAGGGGTCCTATGTCTTATGTGATTAATGAGATTATAATGTACAATTTATGCAATGCATGAATGAATTTCAATCTACCCAACCCGTTAATCTATATAATAAGGCAAGCAAATCTGCATGTCCCATACCATGCATTTTACCACTGTGATTCCGAATGCCCCATTATATAAACTAACACCCATTTCAATTATCCCATAATTCCCATTTTGCTAGTCATCTTGTCTACACCATTGATCTCCAAGCCCAAATCACCCAATCGACAATTATACCGCCGATTTCCTAATCTACTGTGCACACGGGCTCGCCTGAACTTGGTCCCTACAATGGTTAGACTCAACTACACAAAAGATACTTCCTATTATCCTCTTTTCCATAATTTCTTTATCAACCCAAAAATTCCAACCACCACCGACAACATATGAATATGTCAAAATTAATCAAATTATAATGATAATTGACAACACGTATACATCCAATATCAAGCAATCAAACAAATATAACTAAGCATATAATAATCAAATAATATTATCAAGCATAATATAGTATTTACAATATTTAATTAAATCAATGTATGCAAAACCTCCCCAAGAAAAACCCCTACCTCAAATCCAACGCTATGGTATAACTCCCAGTGTAAGTCCAAACACTTTGAGCTTCTCCAAAATCTCACCATACTTCACTCTTTCTTTCTTCTGTCTATAATTTTTAGGAGACTAACACACTTGAAGTACCTATGATCGGAGAACTATTGAGTAGACCTATTTATAGTAAGCTAGAGTCGGTTAGACGAAGCTTAATGTTGTGCCACCTAATTAGTCTATAGGTTCCTAGACTCTCAAATAGCCTTTTGTGTTGGCTCTGTAGAGTGCTTAGTGAGCACTCTCCTATCAAGTTTATATATATAGGAATAACTATCATTCTTAAACTCATGCTTTAATTATTTTTGAGGACACTACATTGCAACAGGTCAGTCTTCAACAATGCTTAGTAAGCATAAATGTCTTTCTAACAGTTTTGTAAAGTAAGTATATATATATAATCTATATATAATAATAATAATAAATAATGCTGAAATGAATTGAAATAATTAAAGCCATGCAATAACATTTGATGGGCTATACTAGTTAATAGCTAACTGCACGTAACTTGCATACATTTATATTTATATATATAGATATATTATTAATTATATAGTTTTGAAGACTAATAATTGTAAATATTAATTTTATGAAATATTAATATACGTATTTAAAAATATGGGGTTTCACAATATATATATATATGGAGTGGAAAAAATTAAAAAAAAAATCAATCTATTATCATATATAGTATAAATAAAATATTATTGCTCCATCCTCCATACACTTGCATCTTACAAAGTGTGAAGTAGATTTTGTGTGCTCCAAGTCATTGACTAGAGCTGAAACATATGGTTAGCGGATTTATAAGATCTTTTGTTTTCTGGGAATTTTCTGAACCAAGGAAAATCTAGAGGGATGCATTGTAGGATTGCTCATGCCAATAATTGTACCCTCTAAATATGTAGGGACATATTTTTTTGTTTTCATGACATGTCGTCCTAAAATTATTGTTCCTACCGGCTCTCCCCCCCTCTCGATTGAAAACCTATTGTGTAAATCTTCAATCCCTGAATGATGCACCTAAAACTCAAGTGTCCCAGGCCATTATTGCTATCTACCACTTGTTGCAATACACGTCCACCCCATTCTCAAATTTAACCACTTAAGTCCATTATGATAACTATGTATTTTATGGACCAATCCAGCTGTGAGGTTTTATCTCAAAAACCTTTGGTACCTTTTTCCCACGTGCAACAATTGTATTTGATTCACAATTAGAGTATACTAGTGATTTGCTTCCTGAACTTATACTTAACTTTCAATTAATCCTCTATCCCTTTTTTAGAAAATTAAGGATATGAACTTTTTTTCACCAATTTTCCCCTTACTGTCTAAATCCTCAACATTTCATCCAATTTGCCGTTAAATATGAGGGCATATTGGTAATTTCAAACATTAAAATAATAAATACATAAATTAAAATTAAAAAATTAAAAATGAAATAATAATGATATATACACCCTCTGTTTGACATCCACCACATCACCATCCTCCACCCTCTGTCTCTTCTCCCCCATGTGCCCACCCCCTCCTCCTTCTCCCTCCCACTCTCTCTCTTTTTGCGTCTCTCTCTCTCCCCCTGCCAAGGTTACAGAGAGGAAAACAAAATTTAATAATAAACATCTTGAGATTTTTTGGGTGGCTGTTTAGGATTTTGATCTTGAATTTTTTTCTTTGGTGGCTGTTTGGCTGTTGGGTTTCCTGGGGAGTAAGCTCCGACTTACTTTAATTTCAGTCCTAATGGGGTTTCGTCTCCCACTCATCTTTGCTCTTCTCAGTGTAAGCTCTGCAATTTGATTAATTTTTCCATTATCTCTCATTGTACTCTATATAAATGAAAGTTTTGTGTTCCTATAATTCTCTCCGATTTTATTTAGTACTTAAGTGTCGTCCACTAATTAATTACACTTTGTGAGATTTATTTTAATTAGAGTTCGAATTAATGTTGCAGCTAGCAGCGGTGGCACTGGCAAACCATGCTGCTCAACCAGCACCTCAACTTTACTGGAACTCCGTCCTGCCAAACACACAGATGCCAAGAGCTATCAGTGAACTTCTGCATCCTGGTTTGTGTTAAGCACTTTAGAATCTTAGATATCTCTTCATAACATGTAAGAACGTACATGAGTAATTATAGTATGGTACTAGAGTAGGTATGGCAAACATATTCACAAATGTGTCACTCACTCTTCAATCGGCTGATTACTTATTTTCCATTATGACGTGACATATAATTTGCAGACTCCACAAATGAAGAAAAGAGCACAAATATCACGAATGCTGTTGGGAATGGAAAGCCAACAGACCACAAGGGCAAACCTGAAAATATCCCATTGGCACTTATATTTATAACAGGAGATATGATCTTCCCACTGACAATCAACTCGATTATAAAAACGTAGCTATTTTCTTCTTGGAGAAGACATGCGCCCCTGGCGCAACAACGAACTTCCAATCCCTAGAAATTCAAACACGGCTACTTTCCTGCCACGCAAAAGTGCTCAATCGATCCCCTTCTCCTCTAACAAACTACTAGAAATTTTCAACCATTTTTCAGTGAAGCCAACATCTGTGGAAGCCAAAACAATTAAGCAAACAATCGAAGAGTGTGAAGCTCCAGGCGTTAAGGGAGAGGAAAAGTATTGCGCCACATCTTTAGAATCAATGGTTGATTTTAGCACTTCGAAGCTTAGAACAAGAAACGTTCAAGCAATCTCAACGGAGGTATTGGAAAAAGGAGCCACCATGTCCATGCACAAGTATACAACAATGCCGGGACTGAAGAAGCTGGCAGGTGACAAAGTCATTGTGTGTCATAAGCAGAATTATCCCTATGCTGTGTTTTACTGCCATGCAATAAAACCAATAGCAGCTTATGTTCTCTCCCTGAAAGGTGATGATGGGGTGAAGGTTAAAGCAGTAGCCATCTGCCATCTAGACACATCAGAATGGAACCCAAAGCATTTGGCCTTCCAAATCCTCAAAGTTAAGCCCGGAAAAATTCCCATCTGCCATTTCCTTCCCACTGATCATATTGTCTGGGTTCCGAACCACAAATCTGCATAATCATCACTTAGCACTGTACGTTATAATAAGCTTGCACCCCAGTATAATTATCTCTCTACTTATTTCTGCCTCTTCATGTGGTGTAAGATATATGATGAGATGAAGTTTTGGGATTAATGGTCGGGTTGCCTAAAAAACGCAGATTACAGAAACTGCTTGAAATAACCCGATCATGTGTTCTCTTGTAAACTATTTAGACTTCAACTTGTACTCATAAAGCATGCTGTATTATGAAGAGATATTAATCTATATATATATACATATATATATGCTTTGGTTTGTACCCGATCATTGATTGTTTATGTAGATGATATAGTCGTAATTGGAAACGATACCGGAAAGCAACTGAAGCTGCAAAATTATTTGTCTCGGGATTTGAGATGAAGGATTTAGGTGATATGAAGTACTTTCTCTAAATTGAGGTAGTAAGGTCAAAAACTGGTAAATTTCTGTCTCAAATGAAGTATAATAATCTACAAACTGAAATAGGAATGCATGCGCGGGTGTAAGCGCTGGGACAACCCATTGAGATGAATCCATAAGTTGTTGTGAAGAGATGGACCAAGAATCAACCATAAAGACAGATATTGCTATGCTATGAGTGTGGTTAGGTTTAGTTTATGCTATGTCATTTAGTGTGTCTTTCTCATAGGAATGCAGTGTATCGGATTTTCGTAAGATATTGTAAAGTCAAGCCCCTGGGAATAGGATTACGTTCTCAAACATAAAAATGGAGATCTGAAGTTGTTGGATATACAGCTGCTTATTAGGCTGAGTTCCATACAGATGGACGCCCTTTACTTTTTGGTACTTTACATTAGTGAGAGGTTTCCAAACTATTACTTGGTGGAGTAAAAAATTTACCAAAATGTGTTGCCTCGATATTAGGGCCAACATTATTTTTTTAAAAATCAACAATAGGAGGAATTGCTCATGGAGTTGGTGAATTAGTGGATCAGAAGACTTTGACCGAATTGCGCTTCAAGACCAGAAGAAAAGCCAATGAAGTTGATTTGGTGACAACCAAGGTCAACTATCAAATTGCTCATAAGCCAAGTTCAACATGATCAAACCAAACATGCAAGGGGATAGAATTTCATCACAGAAAAAATCGAGATAAAGATCATCCGCCTACATTCGTATAAAAATCAGAAGATCACTGGCAGAGGCCCTTAACAAAAACTGGTTTGTGGAAGAGGAGATTTCTGACTCACTGACAAGTTGGCATTGGGACTCTAATGCACCAACTTAAGGAGGAGTGTCAACATGATCCTTCTTAATCATCGAGATATATTTCCTGATAATGAAGAGATTTAATTTTATTTTACATAGTTGACCCAAATCACAGTGTATAAGTGAGGAGGAGACTATGCCACTTGCTGGAATTTGTGTGGTCCAAGTTGATGGATAGAAGCAGCAAAATGGTTAGCTGGATTTATAAGAGCTTGGTGGCTGGGGGAATTTTCAACCAAGGAAAATTAAGGTCAAATTACTAAAAGCATCAATGGAAAGGGGAAACGATCTAGTAGGATTGCATTCTAGGATTGTCGTCATGCCCAAATTCATGTGCCACCCCCTCGATATTCTTGAAAATAACATAGGCTATTGTGTATTTATACTCCTCAAGCGCACTATGATGAAACTTCAATGTGCGATTTTCTATATCCTGTTTGGCCATCCCAATTAACTTTTTGTTAGCATTTAGTGTTTGACAATAGCGAAAAAGATAAAAACAGAAGAAGAGTGATATCATTTGAGAATCTTTATTTATATTATATAATTATAAGGGTAATTTTTTCTTGATTGGATAAAAGACATGGCCGTGATTTAGAGTGATGCTGCAGCACTTCTCTAAAAATTAAGTGGAAGTAGTGTAGAGCTTCAATATCTTGAAGCTATATGGCAAAGCGTACAAATACCTTGACAACGTTCAAGATCAGAAATTCGGCAACCTAGGTGAATATAAACATGGCAGCTATAGCATAAGATTGGTAACTTGGACGACCGAAAAATAATCTTATATCCGGTCTCCAATTATGCCAGGTAATTACTAGGGATCTTAATATTTTTATGCTAGTACCTTAACAGAACCCTAATTAATATACTTTTTCACACTATGCCCCACATTGCTGCACATGCAGGAGATGGCATCAATAAATTGATTTTATGAATAATTCTTATCCCAAGCATAAACATCCAAAATGTCATGAATCTCTCCTCTAAATGATTTCGCCCTCAAACGACTTTTCGGGCCCATGATGAAGTGCCCAATATAGTCACCGTTCCTTAATTCTATAGATCCCTTTCTTAGAGCAGTTGACACATTACAATTGTGGTTGGTGACAAGAGCTTCAAAATTCCCAAATTCCAAAATATAACGGGATCTCAAAATGTTTTATATACTCCCTCTTCTGCACTACATGTTGGGGTTGTGTGACCTCCAATGTCAGCAACCCAGGCCCCCCCAACTCACAATTTTGTGAGACAATATTTAAAACTGTGACCAGTGAAACCAATCACAAATTAAGAACTAAACAAAAGAGAAACGTATCCAATCACAATCAAACGAGGTTTATACGACAGGCATTATAGAAGGGAAAATCTATCCTATGTATATATTAAGGTTTAGTATGAAAGCCACCAATGTCCACTGTTGTGCCACGATAAAAGGAAACACAAGGCCCGGACTCAAATGGGTCTATAACTCGCCTTAACATAAAATATAAGTGGTAGCCATTAGAATTTGAAACCATCGAAAACAGTTTTACCAATCGATATGCGCGAAACAGAGAATTTTATAATTCCTAATATTATATAGATATACTATATCTCTCCTATATAGTCTACGTTGGAAAACCTTGCTTCTCGTTTCCACTTCTTTATCTCTTCCCCCCCTCCTTGAGTGTGTCTGGAGGTGCTAGAGTGGAGTTGCACCCAGCCAGTTTTGTCTCTACACTCTCCTAGAATTTCTCTGCGCTCCCGACATGTAGAGTGGAGTGCACCCTGTATCTGATTATTTAACACCTATATATTGTTATTATTTTAATAGTAATTATATCTACATGGTATAGCTTCCTCTTTGAGCTAAAACGAGTGGTTGTCGCTCACCGCAAATGTGTGATCTGGTGACAAGTATGTTATTAATGTAGGTGGCATGTAAGTTGCCATAAAAATTTGCTACTCCACGAGGTAAGACACAATAGCTAAAGCACACTGTGATTTTTGTATTAATTCTATCTTTGTCTAGGTGCATAGTGAACTCCTTCATTTACATTGTTATTCCTTACAAGCTTATGTTTGGCAAGCAACGGAGTTCTGGGGTGAACCTGAAAAGAGGTTAGAATTACCTCTAAGCTTCTCGCCCCTTGGATGTTCCCCCCTTTGACCTCCTTCTTTCTGTGCTTAGCTGCTCCTTGTCATTCGAGGTATTGGATTTAGTTTGAGCTGGTCTGGGCCTGTGTGAGGCACACCTTGCTCATGGGTTGTTGAGCAACGCTCTCTCTCAAATTTTTCTATGATTCTTCTTTGCCTCCCAAAATATCAAAATATGAAATGCGGAAACAAAGACTTCCAACAGGTAGTGCGAGCCTGTGCGATCCTAGGGACCTGTGATTGAATTGGAGGAAATTGGGTCCTGTCTGAGCGACAAATTGAGATCATCTGAGATCGCGATTTCTTCAAACACCAATAGTTAATATGGCAGGATCGAGTACCTGAGCTGCCGAACTCTTCCAACACAATTTTCAATTGAAAATTATTGAGTTCTGGAGTATCAGAATGAAAACTATTCTGAAATCTCATGGTTTATGGGATCTGGTCGAGAATGGTTAAGTGACCTAGATGGAAGAAGGAGAAAGAGGAGGCTGTAGACACTGAGAAGTCTATGGTGGGTTCAGACTCTGATGAAGGATGCTCGTGCACTTGGATTGATCCAAAGTGCTGTTTCAGATCAGCTCTATTTCCAAGGATTGTGAATGAGGAACTTCGAAGGGAGCTTGGGATATTCTGAAGCTGGAATTCAGAGGAGATAAACAGGTACGAAATGTCAAATTGCAAGGGTGCGTAGGGAATTTGAATATACCCGCATGAAGGATAGTGAATCTTTATCTGTATATCTGGTTAGGTTGTTTGATATAGTAAATCATATGAAGAGTTATGGTGAGGAACTATCTAGAGAGAGAATTGTCCAGAAGCTATTGTTTAGTTTGCCAAATCTTATGATTCTATCTGCTCTGTAATTGAACACTCTAAGGACCTTGAAACTCTTGAGGTTCAAGAGGTTGTTGCTTCACTGAAGAGCTTTGAGCTCAGATTGGATAGACACACTGAGAATTCTACAGAAAAAGCCTTCTCTAGTCTGAATGTTGGTAGGAAAAAACCTGAAATGGAATTGCTTCTGCAGATCAAATACCTCAGAAAAATTGGAAATCCAATGATGGAAACAAAATGGCCTGCAAACATTGTGACAGATTTCATTATGGCAAATGTTGGTATGAAGGGAAACCTAAATGCCATGGTTGTGGGAAGCCTGGACATATGATCAGAGATTGCTATGGACACAAGAATGTGCAGAGAGAGTGAATTATGCAAATCAGGAGGAAGATTGTGGCACTTTGTTTTATGTGTGTGTAATGCTGCAAACTGATGTGAAGGTAAATCACTCTTGGTATATTGACAGTGGTTGTAGTAACCACATGACAGGAGATGAGGGACTTTTGGTCAATATTCAAGGGAATTTGAGCTCTAAGGTGAAGATGGGAACTGGAGAAGTGGTCCCAGTTGCTGGAAAAGGGACTTTGGGTGATAAAAACTAAGTTAGGCAAGAAGCACATTCCTGAAGTAATGCTTGTACCTGCCTTGAAGAAAATCTGCTTAGTGTTGGGCAAATGATGGAACATGGCTATCACCTGTGTTTGGAGGAAATGTGGTGAGTGTTTATGACAATCAGTCACTAGAAAATCTGATTGTGAAGGTGCAGATGACAAATAACAGATGCTTTCCATTGACAATGATGCCTGCGAGTGAGTTGGTCCTAAAAGCAAGTGTCACACATTGCTTGCAGACATGGCATAAGAGGCTGGGGCATTTAAATGAAAGAAGTATAAAATTGCTTGAGAATCAAGGGATGGTTCATGGCTTACCTCACTTGGAGCAGAAGTCAGTTGTATGTGATGGTTGTATGCTTGGAAAACAGCATAGGGATTCTTTCCCTTTGGAATCCACTTGGAGAGCTTCAAACCCTTTGGGATTGGTTCACACAGACATCTGTGGACCAATGAAAAACAGAATCATTATCTGGAAACAGGTACTTTCTACTGTTTACAGATGATTTTACTAGAATGTCATGGGTGTACTTCATCAGAAATAAGTCAAGTGCATTGGAATGTTTTAGAAAATTCAAAGCTATGACTGAGCTGCAAAGTGGGTATAAGATAAAAGGCTTGAGAGTGACAGGGGTGGAGTTTCTATCTGGAGAATTCAACAAGTTTTGTGAGGAATATGGTATTCAAAGGCAGCTAACTATGGCATATTCTCCACAGCAAAATGGAGTGGCCGAGAGGAAGAACAGGACAGTAGTGGAAATGGCCAAGTCCCATGTTGCATGAGAAAGGTGTTCTCTATGAGTTTTGGAGAAGCTGTAAATACAGCAGTCTATTTGCTGAATAGATGTCCTACCAAGCCCTTAACAAGATAACACCATTTGAAGCTTATACTGGCAAAAAACCCAGGATGCACATTTAAAAATATTTGGATCTCCTTGTCATGCGCTTATTCCTTCAGCATTGAGGCATAGCTTGAAGAAAACATCACAAGTGTATTTTTGTAGGCATGGTCTCTGTGAAAAGGGATATAGCTGTTGATCCAAGTACTAGGAAGATAATTCTGTGCCAGAGATGGCAATTTGATGAAAATGGCTTATGGAAGTGGGAAAATACAAATAAGAAGAAGAATGGTAGTCCTTGCCTATGGAACATCAAAGCTGTGACCCAAGACAAAGCTTGGGATCAGCACTGCAAATGTATGAAAGAAGTCACGTTCCAACTGAAACCAAGTCAAAGCTTGATACACAAACTCAATAGTTGAAGATACCACTCTGGCAAGATGAGGCATAGGTGAAAGTCTTCATTCTTGATCAGCACCCACCAAAGAAATGGAGAAGTGTAAGTGAAATCATGGCTCGTGTGAATGAATGTGTATTGTGCACCGAGAGAACATTAGTGAATATGCAAGTCTACAAGATGAGGTCATGATAGAGAAAAAGGCACTGAAGCTGAACTGGAAAATTATCAAAAAAAGTAAGACACTTGGGAAATCTTGTCGAGAGACCTTTTCTAACCTGTGATTCGGTGTTTAAAAAAAAAAAAAAAAAAAAAAAAAAAAAAAAAAAAAAAAAAAAAAAAAAAAAAAAAAAAAAAAAAAAAAAAAAAAAAAAAAAAAAAAAAAAAAAAAAAAAAAAAAAAAAAAAAAAAAAAAAAAAAAAAAAAAAAAAAAAAAAAAAAAAAAAAAAAAAAAAAAAAAAAAAAAAAAAAAAAAAAAAAAAAAAAAAAAAAAAAAAAAAAAAAAAAAAAAAAAAAAAAAAAAAAAAAAAAAAAAAAAAAAAAAAAAAAAAAAAAAAAAAAAAAAAAAAAAAAAAAAAAAAAAAAAAAAAAAAAAAAAAAAAAAAAAAAAAAAAAAAAAAAAAAAAAAAAAAAAAAAAAAAAAAAAAAAAAAAAAAAAAAAAAAAAAAAAAAAAAAAAAAAAAAAACACGTACCTCTGCCTGAGGTTGTTCTAGATGCCTGACCAAAGAGCAGGGGACTACATCCTTCGGGAGGTCCACAGTGGAATCTGCGGTGACCACTCTGGATCCCGATCGCTCGCACACAAGGTCTTCCGCAGGGTATTTCTGGCCGACTCTGCACCAGGATGCGAACACATTAGTCAGGAGTGTGACAAATGCCAGCGGTTCGGTAGTGTCCCTCATATTCCTGCCGAGCCGCTGTCACCGATCGTGAGCCCGTGGCCGTTCGCCCAGTGGGGACTAGATCTAATTGGTCCATGCCAGAGGGCAAGGGGTCAGGTCAAATACGCTGTTGTTGCCGTAGACTACTTCACCAAATGGGTAGAAAGCCAAAGCCCTAGCGACAATAACGGCAGCCAGAGTCGAAGATTTCGTCTGGACGAACATTTGCTGCCGATTCGGCATCCCCTACGCCATCGTCACGGATAACGGCAGGCAGTTTGATTCGGAAGTCTTTAGGAATTCTGCACCCGACTCAAGATCAACCTGTTCTTTGCTTCGCCAGCACACCCCAATCGAACGGGACAGGTCGAAGCCATGAATAAAATTGTCAAGAAGCTGTTGAAACGGCAGCTTGACAAAGCCAAGGAGCCTGGCCGGAAAGCTTCCAGAGGCGCTATGGGCCATCCGGACATCCTACCGAACGGCAACTGGGGAAACACCATTCTCTATGGCTTTCGGTTCAGAGGCAGTAGTCCCAGTAGAAATCGGAGAGCCTTCCTACCGAACGGAAACCTTCGCACCCGAAAGGCGAATGAGGAAGCGCTTGCTTTGAGCCTCGACCTGCTCGAAGAACGCCGAGCACAAGCCAACCTTCGGAACGAAGCTCCAAGCAACGCGTCTCTCGGTACTATGACTCCAGGGTCAGATCCCGCTCTTTCCGAATCGGAGATTGGGTCATGCGGAAAGTCTCTTTGGCAACCAAGAATCCCACGGAAGGAACCCTCGGACCTTCCTGGGAGGGACCCTACGAAATCATCGGTATCCAGCGATCGGGGACTTATCGACTCAGAGACTCCAACGGAAAGACCCTCGGTCATCCTTGGAATGTAGAGCATTTGAAGTACTATTTCAAATGAAGTCACCTGGCCTACGGCAGGGTCACGGAGGAGTCCCAAAGCCTTCGGCATCTCTACAACACAGCCTTCGGCATTGTAGCGTTTCCTAGCCAACGGCGGGTTCTAAATTGTAAAACGCACTCCAAATTGTACCTTTGCCTTCGGCAGTTTATCAATGAAAGGGCCTTCGGCTCATATATTCAGAACCTTTGTTGTACCTTTCAAACTCTCCATTTTTTGTTCAAAAAAAGATACGGTAGGGACCATCGGTCGCAGTAAACTACACATTTTGGCATCGCCATTATCCTACCGATTAAGGGACAACTTTGTAACCTTTATTGACCTTTATAGGCTTTCGGTAATTACGGCCGTTGCTTGCCATCGGCAAGCACGCCTATTGGTTTCAATTCCCTAACACTTGAACTTTTGCGTGAAAGGAAACTTTACTGGCCAACGGCCAATGACTTTTGTTTGAGAGCCTTCGGCATTAAACAGAAAAATTTCCTAAGTACATTACCGATTCAGAAGTAAGATGCAATTAAATTAAAATCAAAACACAACTTTAATAAAAACATGCCCACGGCATCAATATCCAAACAAAAGATGCCAACGGCATCAAGTTGCAACGAAAATTACAAAAATGCCCTCGGCATCAAAATTACATAAAAAAAAGCAGGTAATCAGGATGAAGGGCCTTCAGGTGCCTCCTCGGCATCCCTTCGGCACCAGTGGCTCGGGCTCCCCGGAGCGTCTTCCCCTTCGTACTCCTCAATCATTTCTTCTGTAACGCCTTCGGGAAGGGGAGGAGGATCGGCAATGAAGTTCAAGTTGAGCTTCGTCCCAGGATTGTACCGCTTGAATCGGTAGATGAGATCCACCATCTCCGAGCCCACCTCCTTGTCAAGCAAGGTAGAGAAATCGGGAGAGTAGCGATACTTCTGAATGGCCTCCTGGACGGCAGCCTCAATCTCCGAAGCTTTGGCCCGCTCCGACTCCTCCAGAGCCACCTCAACGGCTTCCTTCGCCTCCAGAGCCTCTTTTGCCGATAGCTGTGCCGACTCCAGGGCTGACGACAGATCTGCGAACTTGGACTCATAAACCCTGACCTGCCGTTCGGCAGCCTGCAAATCCTTCGCCAGGTTTCGCATGGTCCTGGATAGCCTTGCCAGCCTCGGCAACCCTGGCCCTGCCGTCCTCATAGGCCTTCTTCGCCTTCTCGCAGCATTGATGGCTCGCTTCATGCAAAGCCACATGTCCATCGAAGCCTGCAGAACAAAGGGCACGTCAGCCAAAGTATAAAAAAAACGATCGGCAAGCTGAACCTGGAATACTCGGGACTTACCGATGCTTGAAGACGGAAAGCGCGACCCGCCTCCTCTCGAAGGAGCTTCTTCGGCAGCTCCTCGATCTCATTCAGCTCCATTTGCGAACCAAGGATCATATGGTTCGCAAACTGGACCGTCTTCGGCGGACAGGCCAGGGTGACTGGATCGGCAGGCTCCTCGTCGTTGTCAGCAGCGAAGATGGCCCGAGTAGGCTCGGCCTGCCGTCCGCGCTTTGGGGCCGGTTCGGCATCTAGGTCGACGGTAAAGGGCCGTTTGCCGGCAGCTCGGGAGGAAGTCCCTTCGGTAGTGGCGCCTCGGCGAGGAGAGGGGCCGACCGCTGCCGCCCCGGCCTGTGCCGAATCGGCGTTGAGCTGACGGAGACGGTCAGCCAGAGTCTGGTCCTCCGGGTCTACCGATGCCGAGCCCTGCGGCTGGTTTTTCTTCTTCTTCCCCTGGAAGCCCATCATGAGACGGCGCTTGGAGGACTCGTTCATCCTCTTAGCCTCGGCAGCTCTCCTCTCTTCCGTCACTACGAAAAGAGGGTTCGGTAAGACCCGCAAAAGAAGAAAAGAAACAATTTGTAAATTACAAAGTATACTTACTCTCGGCAGGATCGACCAGCTGGGCCTGAATCAGATTGTTGGTGAAGAGGAACTGCGGATACACCCTCTCCTCGGCAGGAACTTTTCTCCTCACTCTCTCCACTTGCTGGATCTCGGCCTGCGTTGCGATCGGCTGCTTCAACTTACCTACAAGAAGAACAGACAGGAAAGATCACCTACGGTAAACGGGAACCCAAGAAGGTACCGAACGGCACGTGGTCCTACCGGCTATTTGGAAGGTTGTGGGAATGCGAAATCGGACAGGCTGTCCCGAAGGCGACTCCCAGTCGCCCGAGAGGAGCACCCGCCGATTTCTCCATGACTTCTGTGAAGTCGGTACCCAGCTGACAAAGTGGCCACGATCGCAGCCCTAAGACAGTTCGCCTGCACCCATCCGCCGTGATCGGCACACTTGGACTTGGTAATGCTGTAGAGATGGGAGAACTGCTCATAGGAGGGGCTCCCTTCGCCAGCCATGCCGAAGGCCGTTATCACTCCCATGAGGGCCACCCAGAAGTTGGGGTTGAATTGCCCCGGGGCGTAGCCGATCTGGGCTAGGATCCTCTGTACCGCCGGCTGCAACGGCAACCGAACGCCTTGCACAAGGACGTCAGTAAAGAAGACTACCTCGCCGTCCTTCGGCGTACTAAGAGATTCGGAAGGGCCCGGGATCCTCATCCGTACTGAGTCGGGAATGCGGTATTCTGCTCGAAATTTGGCAATCTCCCGATCGGTAATCTTGTTCGGCCCAAGATAGTTGACGCCGAATAAATTTTCCTTCGGCACCCCCATGGGCATCCTAGGGTTGCTTGGGTACACTACCGATACCCTGGGCCCAGATGGTGGTTTAGCTGCCGACTCTCCACGGCCGGAAGTGGAGGTCTCTGACTGACGGCTACCGCTCGCCTCCCCAGGCATACCGAGGCCCACGTGGCGGCCGTCACTATAGACGATTGACAATGGGACGGGAGCGGTCATTAGCCCCTTTCCGACTCCGTGTGTTGGAATGGAGCTGGGCCCTTCGCCGAGTATCTCGACGTCGGTATCACTCCCACCCTCGGCATCAGGCCCTGCTGCTTCGCCGTCGGAGTCAAAGAGACCGTCCGATGACTCCTCATCGAACGCATTGGGCTCGCGCTCGGAGAATGACTCGCTATCAGACATCTACAAAAACAGGAAAAAAAGAAAACTAAGGCTCATGCCGGATGCTATCCTACCGATCCCTACCTCGCTACCTATGGCGACTAGACTACCGAATGGAACCCTATGGTCAGTCTAGTTCGAACCAAGGAAGGACGTAACTCTTAAAGCATGCAGCAGATTAAAGCGAAAAGTGCCGAACGGTACCTTAATGTGTACTCTGGAAGATAAGCGCAATCTACTCTTCAGAATGCTTCACTACCGTTCGCAATATCGGGAATCGCCTTTCCTACCGTTCGAAACGCCGGAAATCGTCTGGTTACCGTTAACACTTGTCGGAAATCGCCTGATTACCGGAAGCCCTCGTCGGAAATCGCCTCAAACAGAGCTCTCACTTCTCACTAAATGCAAAGTGAATTCGCCTCCGGGGTCATCCCTATTTATAGGGGGGAGGTTGGCAACGGTACTCCTCGAAAAACCAAACGGCGCATTAATGCGCCGCGCGCCATCATTACTTTCGCCACGTGTGGCTCATCCTGTGGGGAACAGACGGCACGCGAGGCGCGGAAGTCAAAGCGCTCAGACGTCCCTTCACCCATCAGCTCAACGCGACCTTCTGACTTCGCCGACGTCAGCCTCTGAACTGATGATGCCGGAAGGAACAAAGTTTAGCCCCTTCCCCAGGTTGGGTTACCGAACGGTAAGGCCGTGTTTCCTTCCGAAGACGACTTCAAATCCCCTTCCGAGGACTCTCGCAAGGGGACTTGGGGGACTCCTGTTTATACCAAAATGAACAGCCAATGAATGTCGAACACGTGGGCTAAACCAGGGCCATGGAGTGCCTTCGACACCCACCTTCGGTACAATACCTACCGATCGAAACATTAGGGCAACCTTGCCCCCTAGGACGCGTGGCAGTCCCACAATTGATGTCCAGAGTCCCACATTGAAACTCTAAACAAATTGCACACCTCCCAAGGCCTATAAAAGAGGACATCCATCCCAGCTTGAAGGTAATCAATAAGAACTTACGGCATACTGCCTATTGATCTGTAGTTCAAACTTATTAAATCCGTACTTACTTAAGCATCAGAGAACCTTCGGCCGGTACCACACCGGTGCCCTAGGACTTACCGTGTGTTTGCTATCTTACAGATTGCACACCCTATCGAGGACATCAGATACCGAAGAGACTAAATCACTAAGTTGCGCGGGAAAGTGCCGAACCATTTTTCTGCGTCAACACTTAGTGAAACATGCGTGGAGGAGCAAATTTTGTCCCACTAGAATATTTGTCTAAGATTCCTTTGTCTTATCCACTTCTCTTTCTCCCTGCAAAACAAATTGAGGTAAAAGGACCACACTCGGGGGGTGTTAGCCAAAGGCCCTCTAATGCCTAAGTTAGGCAGGGTATTTTAAGGAAAACCGGGTGGCCGGAGCCTTGTGTCAGAGAGAAAAAGAATATGGTGGCTAGGGTTTGTGAGAAATAATTTATGCAGAGTTTCAGTCAGAATTTAGACGTACCTTAACCCTTGTGTGTGACCATCTTTTTATAGTGGTCTCAGAGGCTAGGGTTTCAGAGGAATAATTCCGTAGATGGAAAGGAATTATTCCTCCCCGATTTGGAATTGATTTGATTAATTAGGGATTTGATTTATTAGAGTAAATAAAATCCCTAATTATAGTAGGTATCAAATCAATACCTAATTTAATTAGGTAACTCTTCATTTAATTGGGAATTGGTGTAGGAATCAAATCAATTATCAATTTAATTAGGTAATTCTCAATTAAATTGAGTAACTCCCAATTAGGTTGAGTAATTCCCTATTAGTTCAAATAATCCCCAAATGGAAGGAATTACTTGACTTAGGGTCTGATTTAATTCGGTTCCCACAATGCGCATGCCGCTATAGGAAGAAATTAAGTCAAGAATTCGTCCTTCAGCCATGAGTATAGTTTTCGATCACCAGCTTGAGTTTAGCCTTCGGTCAATCATATTGTATTCCACCATGATTTTGAATTTTGCCTTGGGCCCCAAGTTTTGTCTTCAACATGAATTTGACATTCGGCCATATGTTTGGTCTTCAAGCACGATTTGGGTACTGACATGCCCCTACAGTTATTCAAATACATCTATTTTGCCAAAGACAGAAAGGCTATTAATAACTCTTGAATTTTCTTTCTTATCTTGAGTGGTGCAATGGCTGCTTCATCCGATCGTTCACAACTGGAGCAATTTCCATTCCCTTTGAGCTAAGTGATTAGTTTTGCAGATACTTCATATTGGTAACATATGTTATCATAGTGATACCAATATATTAACAGACAAGTGAGAGAGTAGTTCTTATCATTTTTGTGCGGGATATAACTCATGCTCCCATACACAAATATGCCCCTAGCACAAGCTCCTCCACTCCAAAATGAAATTCTGAATGTCTTCATTGCCTTAGAAGCCCTGAACGCAAACCTAGATATGTATAGTAATGAACCAAGTTAAAAGACAGGAAAACAAATGTTGACTTGAATATTCAAACATAACCTTTGAGCTCCACATGCCAAAGCACAGCAGCAAGGGAATTCCAATCCAAAACACATTAATTTGGATTTCTTCTCTAATATCAATTGCACATTAATTTGGATTTTTTTTTCTTTTTCTATATTTGCAATAGACATTAATCTTCGTCACTGAGACATAGACATCAAAAACTTCACAATTGACAACCGTATTACATGCATATGCATCAGTATAAATATCTTTGGACTGAGTATGCAAAATAAAAAGTTACAATATTAATAATATATATCACTACTACATTTTATACTTTGTGCGACAAAGAGAATTTCGTCGTGCAAAATACATAATATTGTAGTGGCACAAATTTCAGCGCGACAGAAACTTCGTCGCACAGAATCCGTTGCGCAAAGATCGTAAAGAAAGACTTTGCGTGACGAAGTTTTTTCATTGGTTGCACAAAACGAAAAAATATTTGTCGCGCAAAGTCACTTTGTGCGACGAACCATATTGGTCGCGCAAAGCGACTTTGCGCGACGAAAAAATATTGGTTGCTCAAAGTTTTGCGCGACGAAAAAATTAAAAGAATATATTCTCGCATCCCATTTTTGGTACCCGCCCAAATTTTTAGAGTTTTGCGCGACGAATACTAATGTCGCGCAAATATTTGCGCAATGAAATATTTTGGTTTTTGACTTTTTGTTTTATTATTTCTTTAATATTAATTGCAGGTACTTGTCGAAACGTCGAAGATATCAATCTATCTAAAATTTAGTATGTAAAAGTGATCAAAACCATGCTATATAAATCAGACCATTATGCCCATGATATAGAGTTATTACAGGCCTCGGAAGATTTGTAATGCCAATCACCAAGATTTGTAATCCCATACTTCGCGGCTAATATAGAGAACCATAGGACCAACGACAAAGAGCAATAGAAACTACAAAAAGCTGATCTATAGAAAGCTAATCTACGTAGACTTGAACTATGCCTTAGTGAAATGCTATAGGAAGAAATTAAGTCAAAAATACCTTTGCAAAAAAAAAAGCTCGAATATAAATCAACTTTCCAGCGCAACAAAGCTAATTTATGTGGGAGTTCATTGCGTGTGAAATTTTATGTGTGACTTGCATATGAGGCATTAACTCCGAAGCAGTTTCATCCTCAATCGAAGATCTTCTTATACTGAAATTTCATTTTTGATTTTTAAGGCAGCTGGTATGTGATACCAGCTCATCTTTATTGTTTTTAGCTTAGATATTTGGTCTGGAATGATGCCGGAAAAGTTGTTGGAGTCAAGAGCCAACTTGCAAAGAAGCTGCAGTTGGCCGATCTCAACAGGTATATAACCACTCATGTTATTGTTAGATAAGTCTATCATTTCTAGATAAAAATATAATTTTCGGGATAGAAAAGTTTGATTTGCAGTTTTGCTGACGCTGTTGCTGAAGACAAGAAATTCAAATTCCAATTTTTCTACTTGAGATTCAATTGGTTCATAAAGCAACCTCGGTAGTCGACAAAGTTGCTGTGGAAATTCACCAGAAATTCGGTTGTGTGACAAGCTTATATAAAACAGTCTAGGAAGAGTCCCCAACCAACTTGGAATTGGCCTTGTGATCTGATTAAATCCCAGAGCCAAGATCTCTAGATTCTTGAACTTTGGTAACCATAAAGGTATTTGATCAGTGAGGTCAGAAAGAACCAAACCCAAGAGCCGAGGATTTTGGAATTCATCAAAATCAACCATGTCATCATCAGATGGCATTCCCTCACCCCTAAAAGGAACCACTAAGCAAGAGTGCGTGAAGGCTTCCGCAACTCATCAATATCTTCATTGCCCCTATAAGGTTGGTGGATCGGTTGTAACCAAGTGAGAGGAAGGACAAGGATTTCAATGAAAGAATCTCAGCTTGTATTTGTCCCTTTAGATGATTCCAAGTCAACCGAATGGCTTTTAAGGACCTACAAGAGTAAAGGCTTACTGGAACCGTACCAGTGAAGTTATTGATTCTTAGGTCAACTATAGTAAGTTGACTTAGTCCTGAAAAATCAAGCATGGAGATATCACCTCTCAAGTTGTTGTTTCCCAGACGCAGTTCTACAAGGTTTGTGCAATTCATCAAAGATGGGGGCAAATCACCTTCTAAATTGTTGAAATCAAAGGTCACAAACTTCAACTTGGAGAGCTTCCCCAAATTGAGAGGAAGCTTGCCACCAAAATGATTAAAGTAGAGGTCAAGGATGGCAAGGTTGGTGAGGTTGACAATTTTATCACTGATGGCTCTAGGTAGTGAATTGAGAGGCAATGCAATTTTCTTCAAGTTTGGTTGCATTATAAATATCTTTTGGAAGTAATCCTGAGAGGTTATTGTGACTGGCACGAAAAACCTGCAGTTCAGAACCCTTCCCTAACCCAGGAGCAAGGTCACCATGAAATAGATTGGAAGAAAAATCCAATAGCCTAAGGAAGGGAGAAGAATGTTGGAGACAAATAGAGGATGGGACATAGCCTGTGAAGCTATTGTTGCTAACATTGAAACTAGTTAAGTTTCTTGCTTGTTGGAAGAATGAAGATATAATTGCAACAAAGAAGTGATTGCTGGACAAATCAACTGTCCGGATATTGTTGGATGGTAGAGAAATTGGTAGCTCTCTAGAAGGACCGTTACAGCTCAAGTCAAGGATCTCAAGTCGATTCAAAGACAAGAAGAACTGAGTTTCAAGTGAACCACATAGTGAATTGTGGGAAAGGTTCAAGTGGGTGAGACCATGAGATGCGTGAGATTTGCAAGTGAAAAGGGAGAGATATCTCCTTCGAGCCCTTTGGAAGGCAAGAGCAAACGGGCGACCCAACCATCTTGATCACAAGTGATGCCTTTCAACGACAGCAATCAAGGGATGCCCAATTTAAAGGAGAAGAAAATAGATTGGAGGCAAAAGACAAGAGGGAGTTGCGTTCAGTTTGTTTGTAGGCTTGAATATTTGTAGATATAATGCAAGAGAATAAGAGGAAGAGAAGGAAGCCATGAGCCAAGCTTGCACTAGCATGCTGCTTTGTGTATGTGCCGTTTCTCAACCATAATATCATTTGTCAAGAAGAAATTATATCATTCGCTTTCAAGCGCAAGAAATATCTGATTTTCCTTGCCAATATCCATGCTAGTTGTGTTACTGACTTTATGATAGTCGAGTTATAAGCTGTATAGAATGTGTCATGACTTTTTTAATAGTAATAAAAAAATGGGAGTTTCACTAAAACACCCAAAATGGGGGTTGAAATTATAAAAAAAACCCAAGCACTACTTAAACATATAAACACACCCAAAACCCATCATTACATACACTCAAAACCCATTTATAAACACACCCAAAAAGTTGACTTTTGGGTGTGTTTCTATGTTTAAATAGTGCTTGGGTTTTTTTATAAATACATGTCTAGGATTGGGTTTTTTTATAAATTTGTATAAAAAAAATCTCACGGATGTAGTTAATGCGTTTTCAAATTTGGATGCAAATTGAGAAGAAGAGAATGAGGTGAGAGTGAGAGTTTTTTTGTTTTTTTTTTTTTTTTTTTTTTTTTTTTATTTAAAAAAAATTTATGTTTTTAATTTTTAAATTTTTATAAATGTATTTACTAGTTTTAAATAATTTGTGGGTTTCTTAAATCCCACATCATTTGCCATGTCACCATCTAACAGAGCATTTCACTGAATGACTGACATATGTATGAAAATAGCAGAAAAGTCAAACTTTTAACACAAAGTTGAAAATAGTAGAAAAGTCATATCTTGATGCAGTAATGTCTGAATTTTAGGAAACTTCCGATTAGTAAAGTAAAATTTACCCTTTTTTATTTGTTCGTCCTTTTATCTTTTCACATGCAAAGGGATTTACTAACCACAATTTTTAGTACTAAAAAGTCTTTGTGGGCATTAAAACTTAGGGTGAAATCAATTTGCTACTAATTGAACAGAAGACGTTTGTGAAGCAAAAACATCTGAAGGAATTTGGCTAGTCTCCAATCTGAAGAGTTAATCCAGCGGTTGAAACCCCATGTCGATTTTCATGCAGGAGGATTCGCCGATGCTAGGGAGGAAGAAGTAGATGGGGTCAAGGAAGAGGCCCATGATGCAGATGACGAAGAAGATGTAGTTCCAGAGGGTCACACATTTGAATCTTGGTTCGAGGATCTGGCACCACCATGAGTACTTCTTCCGGAGCTAGAACGGGGTCAAGAAGTTGCGGATGCGAGTGGAGGCGGCGGCATACGGGTGGAATGTGTGAACCATTTTGGGGAGTTTTCATATTTTTGGGGTTAGGTGTCTTGAGAGTTAGCTGGGCTGGAATGTGTTGTTGGGGTTTTGGTAGATGGTGGTCGCTGGGCCGGGAGAACTCCTTGATGGGTGGGTGCTGTTGGGGTTTTTTTTACAATAGTTTTTAATGTTTTAAAAAAATTTAATAAAAAATTTTAAAGTTGTTAGCATCCACGTTGGATTAATTCTTAAACTAAGTTTAGTTTCTAGCTTTTTTTAGGTCGGTAATGTCAGTCTTTAGAAGTCATTTTATCAAGGGATAAACTTGTCTTTAAAATATTGAAATAAGGCGGGTGAAGAAATAGAACAGAATGGTGGAAATAACATCCATAAAAATGATAATGTTTTTCTCTGTGTCTTTTAGCCTATCAATGGCCAAGTCAAATGGGTATTCAAAATAACAAATGTGTGAGAAGGTTGTGGGAGTGTTGGGTTGATTTGTATTAATATTCTTCTATTTTTTCTATTTCATATTTCATGTTATTTTATTATTCAATATTTAGTTATTTTTAATGTACAAATTGACCAATTTTGCCCTCATATTTAACGGCAAATTGGATGAAATGTTGAGGATTTAGACAGTAGGGAGGAAATTAGCTAAAAATAAAAGCTCATATCAATAATTTTCCAAAAAGAGGATAGGGGTAAATTGAAAGATATGTACAAGTTCAAGGGGCAAATCAACAATTAATGACAGGAGCCGACCCAAATTCTACTTTGGAATTTGAGCCGAACCCTGTGCGTGTCCAACACTTGGTAGGCGCTGGGCACACTTGACCAAATTGTCCTTCTAACAAAAACCAAAGTTAACTTCAAGTTTGACTTCTGCCGAAAATTCGGTAAAGTCTCCTCTGTAAATACTCTTTTCTCAAAATTTACACCTATACGAAAAGCAATTTATAACCACAACTGTTCAACATGCAACAAGTTTGAATTCAAGCAATCCAACAACAGAACTTTATGGCTTCAGGCCTTACAGAAAACCTAGGGCAATTTCAGAGCAATACTAATCTAGTAATTCACAAAAATAATATAGTTGTAAGGGAACATCCTACATAGAGAAAGAGAAGGAATGATGAGTGATGGCCGCCTTGTGGTGGTGCTCTGGTACACGACTACTGCCCGGGGGCACAAAACATTTAAAGGTGTAAGTGGACAAAAATAAAGTTTTGGAAAATAGAATATTAACATACTAACCTCACTATTAAAACATCCAGAAAAATTCTATTATAATCATGTTCTATATTCATACAAGAATAAAGACATGCATATTTATATACATATAACTGATCATGCATTCAATCGAATCATCAAAACCTTTTGAAAGCATTGTAAAGAAATAATCTCTTTCCCACCTAGGTGTACCCATCATATATTCGTTAATTCCATGATCTTTATATTCATTTCCCACATTATACCTTCAATTCCTTGTGTCACATAATGCGACACATCCTCGCAGGCTTCGGTGAACCCGAGCCGCATTCCTAGCAAGACTCAGGGGACACTTGGTCAACCTGAGCCACATCCCCGCTCCTCACGGTCCGGATATCCCTAAGACTCGTGGGGCAAATGTCAAACGCGCGCTAACTCAACCGAAGGGAACTAGGATGTCCGTGGACATCATTATAACCAAAGGCAACAAATTATCCGAATGCAACATTTTGAGTACCTATGGTGGTTTAAAAACATTTTCTAGAAAAATTATAATCCTATTTCTCAATAAATCTTTAGTCCTGTTATCACTTCCTTTCCTACTTTCCAAGCCATTTACATTTTAAAAATACACATAATTTAATAAAAATATTTGAATTCAAACATTTATGCTTGGAAAGTAATAGTCATTAATAATTTATCAAGATCAATTAATGAAACTTTAATTGCATAAAATCCATTTATAAAACAAAAGTCCACTCACTGAGCGTCCAAGCTAGCTTGACCCTTTGAGGGTCCTTCCTGCGGGTTTAGTGAAGTTCGAGCACCTATTTAAGCAATTAAAAATATTTAATTAATAACATAGCTCAACCATATATATATATTTAATCAAAACCCTGACCCTTAGTCTCAAAAGTGCATGTACAGAATTTAAGAGAGTTCTTAGGCCCATTTTCAACATTTCTAACAGGTGCAATGGTCTGAAAAGACCCGAGATTCAATAAGTGATTAATTTCCCATAATGGTTAATCTGGTACCCTGTGGGGTCCACGACCTCCAATTAGTAATCCGAGAGTTCCTATAGGTTCAACACACTTTACTAAACATGCCCTGCAAGTTTGGTCTGAATCGAATGGTCGGATTGCTCAAGATCGCATGATTATCGTTGAACTAAACTTTAAATTATTGAATCGGAGTATCTGGGACCCTAATTCTCGATCCGCGAATTTCTACACGATCCTAGAGATGTCTAGATTAACATATTTGAAAATTAAGTCGATCCAACGGTCCGAACATATTGAACCCCGGTAATGCCTAATATGCGATATCCAATCGACGATCAGATGATAACCAAATTCATATCCGAGCACACCGTCGTGCTCGGGACGACATGAAGATTATTTTAGGACTCAAGGATGGGTCAAAAAGTGGCCCACACGCTGCCCCACATGCCGGTAGAGCGTGGGTGTCCAAAGAACAGCCGCTGTTTTTGCATAGTCGGTTTTGGCTAGTTTTTTGGCTCTGTTTTCGATTGATTTTCTGGTTTTCTCTCTTGAATTTGGGTCTGGAAATTGGTATGGATGTGAAGAGGAGAGAAAGATGAAGAGTTTGCAAGTTGTGGCATAGAAATTGGTGGTTGGACGGAGGAGAAATTTGAGTTTGAAAACTGTTGTTCGTGAAGCTCGTGACAGAGAAGAAGAATTCGGGGTTTAAAAAATCTGAACTTCGAAAAAAAAATTACGGTTACGCCACTGAGCTTTCGTAGATCATAAATTCTTTGTTATAACTCCGATTTGAGCTCACTACGTGTCTACAGACTCATCTCGATGTGCTCTACGCAACGGTACACCTGAAATCCTCAGATTCCTTCCTGACCAAAAAGTTAACTTTTAAACCATTAAAATGTTCCCTAGGTAAAATTGTCTTTTATTAAATTAATAATTAAATATTTATTTAGGATTGGGTTATTACAATTAAGTACAAATTCCCCCATAACTTTATGAACATAACAACATATATCCTTTAAATTTGAGTCCAGTTACTTTCAAAACAAAAATAAAAACAAAAACAAAAAACAAAAAGCAAACTGAAAATGCAAAATAAAAAGTACAACATATTAATAATATATGTCTAGCCTCCAAGCCTTCTTTTCATCATGTTGATGTGGACTGTTATCAACTTATCATCACATAGAGCCTATCTTGTAGATTGTCTATGAATTGAAAATAGAAATATCTCCATGTCTTGTTAATAACTAAAGAACCACAAACTCCCCAAAATCCTACTATGAACCCCAAAGCAACGAAAATATAAAACCACGGAACTTGATGAAGTCCATTGTCCACGTCTTTATTGTTCTTGTTATATGCATCAATGCCCTTACTTGGTCTGCACTTATTTGGAAGTGGGGCACCACAAAGTTTTGGATTCCCCTCAAAGGCAGAAGCGTTGAAGCTTTGGAGTTGGGTGCCTGTTGGTATTGGTCCTTGAAGATTATTGTATGAGGCATTAAATTCTTTCAAGAAATTAAGACTTGCCAATGATGATGGGATTATTCCAGACAAGTGATTTGTGGAGAGGTCCAAAACCTCTAAATTTTTTAGGTTTGATATTTGGTCTGGAATGATGCCGGAGAAGTTGTTGGAGTCAAGAGCCAACTTGCGGAGAAGCTGCAATTGGCCTATCTCAGCAGGTATATAACCACTAATGTTATTGTTAGATACTTCTATCCGTCCTGGTAAAAAATACAGTATCTGTTGTGGATAAGTTTGATTTGCCCCTATGCTGATGCTGGTGCTGAAGACAGGAAATTCAAATTCATATTTGTCTACTTGAGATGCAATTGGTTCATAAAGCAACCTTGGTAGTCGACAAAGTTGCTGTGGAAGTTCACCTGAAATTCGGTTGTGTGATAAGCTTATATAAAATAGTCTAGGAAGAGTCCCCAACCAACTCGGAATTGGCCCTGTGATTTGATTAAAACCCAGACCCAAAATCTCTAGATTCTTGAGCTTTGATAACCATAAAGGTATTTGACCAGTGAGGTTAGAACCAGCCAAAGCCAAGAGCCGAAGATTTTGGAATCCATGAAAATCAACCATGTCATCATCAGATGGCATTCCCTCACCCACAAAGGAACCACTAAGCAAAAGTGCGTGAAGACTTCTGCAACTCATCAATATCTTCATTGCCCCTGTGAGGTTAGTGAATTGGTTGAAAGCAAGAGAGAGGAAGGACAAGGATTTCAATGAAAGAATCTCAGCTTCTATTTGTCCCTCTAGATGATTTCCAGACAATCCAATGGCTTTTAGGGACCTACATGAGTAAAGACTTCTTGGAATTGTACCAGTGAAGTTATTTCCCCTAAGGTCAAGTTTAGTAAGTTGACTAAGTCTGGAAAAATCAAGCATGGAGATATCTCCTTCCAAGTTGTTGGATCCCAAACGCAATTCTACAAGGTTTGTGCAATTCATCAAAGATGGGGGCAAAGCACCTTCTAAATTGTTGAAATCAAGGGTCACAAACTTCAACTTAGATAGCTTCCCGAAATTGAGAGGAAGCTCACTGCCAAAATGATTATAGTAGAGATCAAGGGTTGCGAGGTTAGTGAGGTTGACAATTTTATCACTAATGGCTCCATGTAGTGAATTGAGAGGTAATGCAATTTCTTCAAGTTCGGTAGCATTATAAATATCTTCTGGAAATAATCCTGAGAGGTTATTGTGACCAGCACGAAAAAC